TTATTGACAGTAACCTTACCTGGAAACATCACAGTCATATTGCATCAAAAATAAGTAAAGGTATTGGTATAATCTGTAGACTAAGGCATCTTGTACCATATTCGACATTACTAAATATATAAAGATCACTCATTTATCCTTATTTATCATACGGCCTTGTAGCTTGGGGCCAAGCAGCTACTGGTCTCATATGGAAAAAATATTGATACTCCTGAAAAGGGTTGTGCGTTTAATGAACTTTGCCAACTATAATTCACACGCCATCCCTTATTTTACATCAGCTAATATTATGCCAATTAATACGCTTTGCGTTAAACTCTCTTCTTTCTTAATGCACGATGTCCATAACAATTTAAGCCCCCCCTAATCTTTCTGGTTTGTTCACTCTTTCCCACCAAATACACAATCATAATACCCGATCTTCATCTGCCGGTACTATTACATAAACTATTCTAGGCTAAATCAACATAAAAACTCATTCTCAAGGATTGGTTGTAAAATTTGGAATAGCATCCCAGGAAACTTAAGGAATCTTTTAAAAGATATTTTCAAGAAAAAGCTGACAACGATATTATTTCAAAATCTTCAAGTTCAAGACAGTTATGTTGACGTAGAACGAATAATCAATGATGTGTCAAAAGTTAAATCCAGTTAATAGTAGTGTATAACTTATGTATTCTTCTATTTATTGTCATGTGTTTCTATTTCTGTATTTTTATCTCATACTGTCATTTCTGCTTTTAAATTAATGATTTAATATTTAATTTCTGTTTCTTGTATATTTATTGAATCTTTTGTTGAACCGAAACCTATGCAAGAAGTTTTAGCGTCCGCACACTGCCCGCCGAGACTAGCTATGCTATTTGTGGGTAGTGGTTGATTATGTTAAGTTTAACGCCATTAGAATAAAGGAAAGGAAAAGGTATCAAAAGAACAATAAGATATTATTTGAGTTGGTCCGTGTCAGCAAACTACCCACCAACGTAGCAGACAAGCCCTGATTGGTTTGTTTGCGTGGGATTCTGTTTCTTTAGGGTGGCTGCCATTGAAAAACCTTATGTTCTCCTGAAAGATCCCAGCTCCATAAACTAGAACTTTACGAGGTAATTTACCTGAGTAAATATTGGACGCACCGGCAAATTTAAGGTTACTTCCAACCTTCGAGGGTGTCCTTCGGGAAAAAAATTTCGAGAAAATCCTAACAAACTATGCATCAGAAGAAAGCTTAATAAATGCAGTTTACGACAAAAATATAACTTACGCGATTTTTTTTTTTCATTTAGCAAGTGTCAGGAGCCGGTAAGGCGTGAAATTACCGAGGGTCCTTCTTATTAATTTTTCCGTCGGGTATCGTGTCCCGCAGCATGAGAAAAGTGGCTGCACAGTCTTATACACAAGGTATCAATCAACACGAATGTGTCGGGCTTTTCCGATATTCCAATTCGTCAAGTCTCGTTTCCCAAGGGAAAATGTCCGTAGTGTGACCACAGCTAATATTTAGCATCTTAACCTCACGCTTGGTCAATAGCGCATAGGTAACACCCTAAATTCATTATCTCTGTTCTCCATACTCTTCTCGGACATTCCGTTTGGTAGTAAAGGGAGATTTCGTTTAACAATCAAAGCTTGTTAGGTTTGAGATCATTTCCTTTTATTCATGACCTCAATCAAGGATTCAGCTGTATCATTACAGTAAGGGGAAATTAAATAGTGGTTACACTCTGTTACTCTTGGGGATTAAAGATTTTAAGCCTGAAGGGAACAACTTTCGCGTGAAGCAAACGATCCAACACAAATAGTGAAACTGTTCTTTGATGCTCTTTCTCCAGCTAGATGATGACTCCTTTGTCAAGCAGAATAACCATTTTATTGTACACGTGTATCTTGACTGTTGGTTCGAATTCAAAACAGTCTGTACCTTGTGCCGAAAACTGCAAAGTCAGCGAGATTCCTCGAAGACCCATTTCATTTCGAATTTGTGGAGATCAAATCATGACAGCCTTTAAACAGATCTGCAGAATACACGCAAGAGAACTGAGAGATGGTAAGATATTGTATAAAACGGCTGAGCAATAAACGTAATTATAAAACAATAGATGAGCCTAGATGTGACTTCCTAACTATTCTTGACTAAATTCAACCTAGAAACAAAAACAGGTATATCTAACCATAAAACGTTCTGATTATCGACCTGGTTTTGTCTCTATCAGTTAAAACTGATTATATTTAAATTGTTAGCACTTCTTATTCGCTCACTGTGAGATGCAAGGGTTAACCTTAGTCTCGTTCCCAGACCTTCCACTGCCAAGCCTACATTTCATTTACAGTTACACGGTAGGATCTGGGTAGAGTTAAGGGGTAACCTAACCGTTCGAAAATATTCATATTATGTAATTTGTGGTACTCCTACTTGGCATAAATTTATATTTTGCCGACACGTATCGGAGGACTGGGGGTGGCTGCGTGGTACGAGGAGAGTTATGGGATCATGGTTTTTAAGTAGAGGCCGTTAGCAGGGCAAGGCATTCTACGGTCAGCCTTCACTGTGTGTAACTTTTCGTTTTCGTTTTCGTCTTTTGTATAAATTTAGAGCGGTACTTGCATAGTACCTTATTATAAAATGTAAAAATGTCATTCACAGGATACCCTAAAACCCCAAGGGTGGCACCGCTGCCTTGGTCGGGAGTACACGTTCCCCTTTTTTTTTCCTTTTGCTGGTTTTTAGGGGTTTTCGTGTCCGGCTTTGGTGCATTTAGTTCACTTCAATTGTAATGGACTTCTGTTAGCATATCGATTTGGCGTTAAATAAACGGTGGCTTGGCTGGCCAACCCGCCCAGATATCAACTCTTTGTGTGTCCGGTTGAGTAGTGAAGGCAAAATAAGCTATAGACCCCTCCATTTTGAAAACATCTCAGTGATCTGCCACACACCAAAAACCAAAAGATACGCTGGAATGCCCTTTTGCTGATTACAAGCAGACCGCTGAGATCGACGTTCGATCCTAAGAGGCGAGGTTATTGAGCACGATTCAAATGACGGCGTGCGTATTCGAACTTTCAGCACATTAGGAGAACACAGTGGTTTAATGTCAGGCATGTGCGAGGGGATAAATTTTGGCCGCCCGCGCGCCAATTTCCCGCGCAAAATTTCATACATAAGAAACAACCGCTGCGTCGCAAAATGAGCCCAACATATTTCAGTGACATGTTCATAGAAATCTGTAACAAACACAAAGCTTATTCGGGTATGTGATTGCTCTTGATTTATAATTATATCTTTAGATTTACCGAAAAATTTATTCGCATATAAAACACCCTGACTTATTGCCTTGTATAGTTGTTTGTTACTCGAGACCATTTTGAACTGTTAAGTTACTTTTCTGAATCTGGTAATGTAACTAGTGCTTTGACTTCATTTAAAATTTTCATGGTTTCTTTCTATTTAAATTTGGCCGATCACTTTTTCTGCAGGAAATGAAATATTCTGGGAAAAAAGAAGAGCTTCAGAGTTCCTAACGTCATCTGGGAGATTCCGTAGGTCCTACACTGTTGTGGAGGAGTGCTGTAAAGAAGGCTGTGTTATTGAAGAAATGCGCGAATATTGCTACTGACGTACGAAACTAACATTGAGTGTCTTTCATTGCTAGTCAACTACTCCGTGGACATAAAACGTGTATGAAAAAAGGTTGTGATCTTCCAATTTTTTTTGTGAAAGCTGGAAAACCAAATGCTCATTGACGTATATCATTTATCTTGAATTTCTAGTAAATAAAATCATCTTATAACATTAAAAAGTTTTTGTCTTAGGGTGAAGACGTATTACTGGTAGGTCAAGGTTGTGTGCGAGAATTATTTTGCTGATGACGTACAAAGTAAACACTACTCGACGCTCTTTCTCCGTCACGCAGTCCATAAGCTTTAAAGGTAATCCAGTAAGTTTATTGCTAAACTTGATTTGCCAAAACATAGAAATGTTTCCCTTCAGTAAAAGGCTAAGTATTTATCATTTCGCCATCACTTCGCCATCATTTCTACTCGCTGTCCTGCATTTAGTTCACAGAGAAGGAAATACTTCAAATATTACTCATCGGCTGTCCACAACAAATCAGAAAATATTATGTCTGAGGTTACCCCGGTTCTATTTCGATGTTGGTTTTATTCATGGAGAGCTCAAGAATCCTGGCCAGAAAAATACTGGCTGGCGCGCCGGTTTAAAGCAATTTACGAACAATCGATGTTGCTTAGTGTCGCCGAGAGTAAATTACCTCTCCTTTGTCTCTGTTAAGTTGTTGGGAATGTTGGCAACAACTTTTCGTTGTCATGTAGATAAAAAAAGTAATCATTTATAGAAATAATAACATGCTGATTTACATTTGCGTATCAATGTAAAATTGAACAATAACACTTCTTGAAAACAATGGATTGTGTGAAATCTTCGGCAAGTGATGCTGGTCTTGAATTGTCGATATATCTCGAGATGAGACTCGAAATCTCGATAAGTCTTCTTTCAAGACTGAGTTGTGTGGCTGTGATAGAAGATTCAAGGCTTGCTGACTCTTGAATTTTCGACCACAGTTCGACTTAGAACTGTCATATCACCGGATCATCGACGTTCAAAACCTGCCGATATCCAATGAGCAGTTCTCCCTTCTGGTTGCCATACCATTCCTTTTAAATAAATTAGGAGAATTTAGCATTATATCAATTTGATACCCCGGCTGCTAACGTTTTGCTGGATCACGATTATATTGAAAATGTTTCGAGTGCGTACTCCACATTTAGAGGATTAAAATAATTTTTAGAGCACTATCTATATTGTAAAGCAAGAAATTATTTGAGAGTGCTAGTATATATACATTTTTTGATGCATCTGGCTTGTGAAGCTGGCTGTTCCGTGAGAGTTTCGTTTGGCGGGACTCGAAGAGGCCGCCAGGGGAGTGGTTTCCTCGGCTTTGTCGCTCTCTCAGTTCTATCGAACGCCCAAGGAAACCACCAGCTACGCACACTTTTATGTTTTGCGCAATTCGTGACTCAGCTTAAATGAATGCACCAGTATATAAAAGAGGACATAAAATCGTGTCGAACTGACACACCTCCAATATATTTTCTCGGGCCTCCAGAAAGCGATGAATATTGATATAACCGAAGAAAACAATCGCGAATTGCGCGTTTGGGAGACGTTTGTCGTAAAACGGTTGGGGAGCTAAAAGGAAAAGATGCTTAAGAGAAAATTAACGATACAATTGTTTTTCGATTAGTAATATTGATTGAATTCAAAGTTTGAGTGACATCGTTAACTGATAATACCATTTTTATTTCGTTTTTTGTATTATTTGTTTCACTTATCGAGATGGAATTTCTCATATACGCTCGCATCGTAACTAGCTTATTTATTTAAAAAAATAAGAAACAAGTTGTGAGGCTTTCATTTTAAGTGCTGTGTTCAATTATCAACACGATGCTCTAGATTAAGCGGGTTAAGATCTCACGCTATCCTGGACTTTGTCCGAGCAAACTAACCAGACATAATGTTTGTTGTAATATCACAACAACACCTTAAACATCAAGGAAAACTTCAGGAGAAACACACGAAAAGCGAAAAGTGGCAAGGGTGGGTTAAATGGTAGAGGATTAGAACAGATTACATTCGAACAGGAAACTTGCAATCAGCGCACAATTCCCAGTAAGAGGGAGATCTCGATTTAATAATCTGAAGATCTGCTTAACTCAAAGGGAAGTCTGATCATGCACCAAATGACTGCTCGTTCGGGAACATATCGCGTTATCTATAGCATTTTTCAGTACTGCTTCTCCTTCTCGAAGGTATGCTAGTTCGCCGGTATGGTACCCACTGATTTAACAGTACTCCTAGGTGGAGAACAGTGGATGTTTAAGCAAAATGACTCGCCTGAGAAATAAAAGGCGAGCACTTTACCGAGTTCCGGATGTAAGTACAAACTTGCAAACAATATTTGACTGCGTTGAGCTTTAATCATGCTTTCCGAAATTCAAGGAATTTGAAGTTTTCCAATCTTGCAAAACAACATCAAATCGCAACCAACTGAAGTCAAAAAGCGCAAAAATTGACGTTAAATAATAATGTTTTGTTCGTATTTTTTTTATGCAAACTTTTCACAAAGTTTAAAAATACTTGAAAGCCTCATTATTGTCTAACATCAGATTTGTTTCGTAAAATAGACCGACGCAAAACAGTAAGACACGGCTAAAAATAAATTGAAGTAATATCACATATTGGATACTTGTACTACCCCTAGGATTAAGATTTTGCAAAGCATAATGAGGAAGGTATTTACGTGAGTAGAATATTTGACGAAAAAAATATTCTGCCGGTCTCAATTAATGACGAAATCATTTTTTTACAGAAATGATTTTCACGCGATAGTAGCAAAGATTAAGAAAGTTTCTCTTAATGCTTTATCTTTGAATGCTTGACTGATTGAAGGATTTTTGTTTTTTTCTTAAAGCATGTCTGTAGTGGTCTACTCGGTAAATGTAAAAGTATTGGTCATGTGTGGAGAGAATATGTGTTGATCATGACTTTCTTAAGTATAAAAGTGAGTAGATGATATTGCAGACTATTTCACATCATAGTAAGCGCTGTTGTCAACACTTGCGGACACGAACCAAGCAAGATGAACCATAAGGTAAGATATTTTAAAGGTTCTCGCGCTCTTTCATCGATCAAACGTCTACTCATTTAAAGCGAGGACGTAATTTACCTGTGACGATATCGTTTCGAGAGTTGTTCATCTTTGTAAAACTATGTAGTGAAAGTTTCTCCGCTCGTTTTCATTACATAACAAGGTTTGAATTATTTTAGTCATTGATTTTAGTCTTTGTGCCGACATTTAAGTTGGAAAATTTTCTTTGTGGCCATTAATTTCCCTTTCCTCGCGGATTTTCGGTTCATTTAGGATCTTTTACATTGCTTATTTTTCCTCAAGTGAGAGGGGCCTGGGCCAGCTGGTCGGAGTCTAATTTTGTTTCATTTTAAGTCCGCAAGCTCTTTGACCAGAGGACTGACGCCCAATTGGGCCTTAGTTATTTAAACTGTGAGCAGTGAAACTATCAATGGATACTGAGCATTTTTTTTTTCTTTTTCACAATTGTAGATAAACTGCGTAGGCTTCGCAGTAATAATATGGATGCTAACCACGTCGTTACAAATCGAGGCACATTTCATTCCTTGCGGCCCATTTTCGCCACCAAATATGTGTAAAATTAACGAGATTCCCAGAAGGCAGATCTCCTTCCATGCTTGCGGCGATCTTCTTAAAACAGCTTTTGACGCGGTCTGCGGATGGATGCGAAAGAAAAGAAGTGGTACGGCACTTAATTTTATAAGTCTACAGCTACTTTAAAAAAGTGGCGTCTAAAACAGTGAATAGTTCACTTGAATTTGCATCCAGTCANTATAATTACAAAATGGAGAATGAGGGATTTTCTTGCTTGGCTTAACCAAAGAGTGCAGAAAGTGGTTGAACCTCGCTAACAAAGAATCTAAAATGTAGTTAAGTTCTAACTCTCAATTTAAACTGAACAATGGTTGCAACACACACAAACCCGAAAACGTGAAAGATGTGAAAAACATCAAATTTTTTAGTCTAGTTTAGTTTGTCTGCCGACGCTACTTTTCTAAATTTAATTAGTTAAATAATTGACCACCAATTGATGTAACTATCTTGAAGCCTCGGATAAACAACATTTTTTGTATGAAGACTTTAGACAAGGAATGAATTTGTGGATCATCTAGCGCTAAATTTGAACTATACCACAATTATTAGACAAGAGATATTTGATAGAAACCGACATTTCGGTGCATCTTGCGCCAGTGTCAAGGTTACATGATTAATGATAAAATGTGGTTTGGGAAGAGGCTAAGTTAAGTGCATCTTTTGCCATTGTCAAGGTTACATAATTTAAGATAAAATGCATTTTGTGAAGAGGCTAAGTTGAAGCAAATTTGCATAAAATACCGCCAAGCTAATTACATGAATAATTTAGCCCGAAGAGAATCCGACTGTACATTCAATGCTGGTTTAAGATCTTGAATACACAGCCTTTCATTGACAAGGCAGTCAAACATATTGGTGCAATTCTTGATTAAATTGAAAAGCTCTTGACAAATGCACCCTTAGTCGAAACAATTGACATATTGGCACGCAAAGCTTTCGAGAACAACTTGTTCAACGACACTTATGATCTAAACTTGACCAGTACTGACTTCGTTGATCTTCTACATGTTGCTACAAAGGGGCAGCTTTTTCAGTTGGACGGAGCCCTATACGATCGAAGAGACCGATGGAGTAGCTATGGGGTTTCCCCTTGGACCCCTTTTGGCTAATGTATTCATGTGCGCTATTGAAGGGTCCTTAAGAAATAAAACAAAACTCCCAGAATTTTACCGCCGCTACGTACATGGCACTCTAGTCAGGATGCCAGATCGGGAAGTAGCTATAGAATCTTTGGATACCCTGAATGACGCCCATAGCGCCTTTAGCTTCACTATGGAGTTAGAAAAAATTGAGATGCTCCCTTTCCTTGGGGTGCAGCTTTTGAATTGCGCACCATGTGTCGAAAAAAAGGTTTACTTTAAGCCGACAAACACCGGGCTAATTTTATACTATCATAAACATGTGGACAGCCGCTACAAGTGTGGTTTGCTCGTCACCATTCTTGATCGCGTGCACCGGCTATCGTCATCTTGGGCGTATTTCTCAGAAGAGTGTGAACGTTTGAGAGAAGTTTTCCGTAAGCTGAGGTATCCGATTTACCTTATTGATTCCGTTAACGACAGGTTTATTACCTCGAGAGTCGGAGTGGACCATCCTAAACAGCATACCGATGACGCTATCCGGATAGTTATCCTCTATAAAGATCAGGATGCTGCAGTCTGTCAAACGAAAACTTAGAGATCTTAGCAACAAGGTGCAAAAGACGATTCAACCCGTGTTTATTAGCCGCAAGCTTAAACAAGATCTAAGTCGCGTGAGCCCAAGCCTAACATTATAACTCAGCGATGCGTTGTTTATTTATTCAAGTGTGCGATGCAGGTTATGTTGGGTACACAAAGGGCCACCTTCACACGCGCGTTGAGGGACACCGTCA